CCCTGGCTTAGCGCTACGTGCAAACACAACCAATAGCCACCAGCTTCATACGTCCGTGATTCTCAAATTGTGTTTATGCGCAACTTGGAAACATGAACCACCATGTTGGATGTGCCCACTGCTCACTGCTGCTTGGGGCGGCACTGATTTCCCACCCCCACGCTCAAAATATGAGCAGCAGAATCACAAGGAAGGAAAGGTGTACTCAGGGTTAGCAAAAGGGAAGCCTATCGATTTTGATTTCTCACAGGGCACATCCACACCTCCCCTCAAGCCGCTGCTTTCCCCTGAGGAAAACCGCCCTTTAGCACTCAGTTGGAACCCATGGAGAGAGCCCACTAAAGGAAACTCCAGTCCAAGAGTTGTTCAGCTGCCTCAGCTTTTGAAGCTGGAGTCAGTCCGGGCCCCGCTGTCCCAGGCCAGGTGGGAAAAGGCCAGCAAGGCACAGAGCAGGTCTTCCAGGACTCACAGCCAAGATGGCAGGCTGGTGCCTCGGCATTTAGAATCACAGAATTGTAGACCTGGAAGGGACCCCGAGGGTCATCTAGTCCAACCCCTTGCAATGCAGGAATCTCAGCTAGAGCATCCATGATAGATGGCCATCTGACCTCTGCTTAAAAACCTTCAAGGAAGGAGAGCCCACAACCTCCTGAGGGAATCCATTCTATTGTCAAACAGCTCTTGCTGTCAAAATGTTCTTCCTGATGTTTAGTTGACATCTTGTTTCTTGTAACTTGAAGCCATTGGTTCGCGTCCTACCCTCTGGAGTAGGAGAAAACAAGCTTGCTCCCTCTTCCATGTGGCAGCCCTTGAGGTATCTGAATTTAGAGTTTAAAACCAAGAGTTTGAATTGAGCCCAGAAGCACATTGGCACCACTTAATATGCGAAGGTGGCATAATATGGACCAGGGTTAGCAAATATTGTGCCCTCCAGATGTTGCTGGGTAGACTACAACTAACCCTGGTCCCAGCCACCATGGCTAGTGGTTGGGAAGATGGGCGTTGTAGTCCATCAACATATGGACATTGCCAAATTGGCTCCCCCTAGTATCATGGAATGGAGTTGGAAGGACCCAAGGGTCATCTAGTCCAACCCCTTGCTCCTGGTGTCAATCAGTTATCAGCGTATCTGGATTGTCTTCAAGAGAGCCCCATGCAGAGTGCATTGCTGTAGCCCAGCCAGGCGGTGACCTTCCCCCTAAGTATCAGAAATTTGGGGAACCGTAGGCTAAGAGAGATCAGAGATGCAATCCGGCCTAAGGCATCTCCTTAAATCCTTGTAGCTGGCAGGGGCTGGGAGATTGCTCAAATGCAACACTTCATGTCCTCTGGGAGCAGGAACTCAGCCACAAATGAAACCCTGGATAGATATCATTATTTCTCTCTCTCTCTCTCTCTCTCTCTCTCTCTTTCTCTGTTGGCAAGGGAAAGATGATGCAGAGGGATTGCCAGCTGTGGGAGGCGTAAACAAGAAGAAGATGAGAGAGGAGGGGTGGGGAGGGAAGATGGTTCAAGGCAAGAAGGAACCAGGGTATCGGGAGGAACAGAGAGATTGATGAGGAGGTAAGGACTCTGGAGCGAGAGAACCCTCCAGGACGACAGGAGCTCGCCAGTCAGCAAGGCTTGCAGAGTCATTCAGAGCAGTGAGAACCTGTAGGACATGGTTGCTTTTCTAAGAGGGGTGGCAAATCTCTGCAGCAATTGAGGGGGGGGGGAGTGAGCTCCAATGGCATTGAGCCCCCTCTTCATCTTCTTCTCTTCCTCCTCCCCCTTCTGAGTCTGAGCCCAGACATTGGCGCTATGAGGACCAAGGATCATTAGCTGGAAATGAGCAGATGAGCTGCTTTCTTAAAAGGATTGTCTGATTCCTCTATTGATCCGCTTGATTTAGAAGGTGGAGCGGGTCAGAGGGTCATAAATTATCATTTGGAAGCGGGGGCAGTGGCAGCCAGCAGCAAGGGGGAAAGGAAGGCGGTGCCTGCGGTTTAGCTGCAGGGGCGAGGGATCCATCTGGGAAGTTCAGAGGCAATGGCATTGTCCAATTCAAGCCTGACAGGGACTGGGAAACCTGTTTGAAGAACCAGCTTGGCAAAGTTCTCCCCAAGGGAGCCAAAGAAAGCTTTGCTGCCTTCCATGCCCGTTGAGTAAGCTCTTACGTTTCCCTTTCAGATAGGTGAAGTGACAGAGGGGCAAAGCACTTGCCTGGGCAGTGTTTTCTGGGGTGCCCATGGAACAGCGGAGCGGAGGGTCTGTGATGCAGCAGTAGAACACCTGCTTTGCATGCAGAACGTCCCGGGTCCAACCTCCGGCCTCTTCAGATAGAATGTGGTGGGGGATCTTTGTCTGTGTCCCTGTCAGAGCAGACAGTGCTGGGCTAGGCAGACGAAGAGTTGGACCCGCTATAGGATTATATACCAAGTCAGATTAACAAGAGGCCATATGATACCCATCATCAAAACTCTGAAGGCCTTTCATATAGATCAAGGGTGGGGAACTCAGATGTGGCCCTCCAAGTCTTTCTATCTGGCCTTCAGAATCCTCCCTGGGCAACAGACCCCAGTAGCCCTACCTCCTGCCCTCCTTGAGAGTTTTTTCCTGGCTAGAAGGTGCCTCTTGCTTGCCTGGATAAAGAATAGAGAGAGACGTGTAGAAACTAGCCTACCATAAAGGTAAAGGGACCTGTGACCATTAGGTCCAGTTGTGGCTGACTCTGGGGTTGCGGCGCTTTACTAGCCGAGGGAGCCGGCGTACAGCTTCCGGGTCATGTGGCCAGCATGACTAAGCTGCTTCTGGTGAACCAGAGCAGTGCACAGAAACGCTGTTTACCTTCCCGCCAGAGCAGTACCTATTTGTCTACTTGCACTTTGACGTGCTTTCGAACTGCTAGGTTGACAGGAGCAGGGACCGAGCAATGGGAGCTCACCCCGTCGCAGGGATTCGAACCGCTGACCTTCTGATCGGCAAGCCCTAGGCTCTGTGGTTTAACCCACAGCGCCAACCGTGTCCCATAGAGAGGTAACATTTACATGTGTTGCTCCTCCCACTTTGCCTCTGGCCCCGCCCACCACTGGCATATGGCCCTCTGAAGGTCATCCAGATGAGAATGTGGCCCTCAGGCTGAAGAATGTTTCCTTGTCCCTGATATAGATGTTGGAGCAAATCTGTTTTCTGCTGCTGCAGAAGGCAGGACCCAAATCAGCAGGCTCCAAATGACAAGAAAAGGGATTTTGACCCAATATCATGAAAATCTGAAGATGTTCCTGATGGCTATTTGGCAGAGGAACTGTGGTTGGTGGAGAAGGCTACCTGAAAGGTAGTGGGCTCTCCTTAGTCAGACGTTTTCAAACAGAAGCTACACAGCTGCCTCTAAGGGATGTGGTCACAGTCAATTTCCTGCAACGGCATGGGGTTTGGCTAAACCAGTGATTCTCAAACTCAGGTCTCCAACTGCTGTTGGACTATATCTCCCATCATCTCTAGCTAGCAGGACCAGTGGACAGGGATCATGGGAGATGTAGTCCACCCAAGTTTGAGACACACTGGACTAGACAATGTCCCTCCAGCTCTATGATTCCATGTTTCATTGTATGTTGAATACAAAAGGTCTCTAAGGCAAAGGTAGGGGAACCAGTGGCTCTCTAGATATTGTTTGACTCCAACTCCCATCAGCCCCAGCTAGCCTGGGCAATCGGAGACAATGGGAGTTGTAGTCTAGCACTTTATGGAGGGCACCAGGTTCCCACACCTGCAAGAGACATTTGCGTGCACTTTCTTCGGGGAGTGGGGGCACTGTGCAGTTTGCTACCACTCAGTGAGTCCAAAGGTTTCTGGGCAGCCCAGGACCAAAGCCTCCTGAGCAGCAGTTGACATGATAAGCATTATCGAAAGCACCATCCCTCAGGATTCCCCCTGGATGATTTTAGCACATCAGCCACAGATGGGGAGGCAGCGAGCCTCTGGAACGCCCCCTCCGGAGACATTTTGCAGCTTGCGAAGCGGGGAGTGAAACATTTTTGCCCCCTTTCCCCATCCCAACTCGAAACCTGGAGCCTTGCCTGCAATTATTCCTCTTCCTTAATTGAAAACGTTGGCCTCTGCGATTTGCTGGAGCTGGCAAGGGACGGGCGCGAACGAAGGAACGTGACACCATCGGAGCACCGCGTAATGGGCCAAGAGGGAGCCTCGATTTATGGATTCCACAGGTTGGCAAATGATCTCATAACTCACGCGAGGGCACAGCCGCAGCGGGATCAGTCAGCAGACGCTTCTCCCCACTGCCACCGCCCGCCTGCTGCTTCGAGGCTACGGGGGGGGGGGCGGGAGAGAGCCGGGGCGGGGTAAGATTTCCTCCCCTGCTGGCGCTGATGGGTTCTTGACGTGCAATCCTTTCATGAGAATTATTACTCTTATTACAAACGCGCCCTCTTCAAAACGTTTCGGAGCAGGATCTATATATCTGTGCCTATCTACCCTTGGCAAGGAGGGCCAATTAAGTAGAATTACAATCAGGAGTGGGCTTGCAACGCCACCTTTGAGGCATCCCGCAGTCAGCCCGTCTCTGGGAAGGACTGATAAGGTGCAATCAAGACATATAAATGAGGTGTTGGCGGTGGAGCAATGGGCGCCCACCACGACGGCCACCGCCGGCTCCGCTTGCTGTCTGCGGAAAGGCCACGGGATCCCAAGGGTCGCATCCGTGCAGTGTGGCTGCAGGACGTAGTGTCTCCCGGGAAGTAGGGGGGAGAAACCAAGTGGCCGGCTTCGTTGCCGAGGCCCCACTGGAACTCTCCAGTTGTGTCATTAATAATGGCAGTCATGCTTGGTCAGTGCCCGTCTTTAATCAAACGAGATGTCTTGACATTCGGGACGAGAAAGAAAATATGCCCAAGGCAAAACAGGGAAGGCTGACCCAAGAGGGCTGCTTGTGACATGAAAATACATCGAATTGTAGAGTTGGAAGGGACCACGAGGGTCATCTAGTCCAGCCCCCTGCAATCTTTTGCCCAACCTGGGGCTCGAACCCACAACCTTCAGATTCAGAGCCTCATGCTCTTCTGACTGAGCTATCCCAGGTCCACAGCGGTTTCCTGGCAGGATCAGAGCGAGGTCCATGTGTACACCAGCATCCCTCTTTCTGTTACAGGCCTGGGGGACCTGCCACCCTCTTCCAGGAGTGATAAAGACTCCAGTCTCTATCAAACCTAGCCAGAATGCATGATAAACGGGGGTGGATGGCAGCTGGAGGGCCACAGGTCCCTGGTCTAATAGCCTTTATTTGGGAAGCTTGCAAGCAGGACATGCCTGACAGCCCCCTTTCACTGCTGTCTGTCCCAGCATCTTGTACTCAAAGGTACTCTGCCACTGGACATGGAGGTTCCATTTGGCTAACATCTTCATAGCTGCAAGCACAAGCACCGGCCCATCCTCCTCCCTGATCTTGGTGGCAGCAATGGAAGGGGAAAATGGGACATTCCAGGATCAAATCAGAAGCCAGGATGGCTTCTGTCATTCCAGGAAAGGCCTGGGAAAATCGGGACGCTTGAAGGGTATGTGATCTGGCTTCCTGGAAGCTGCTATTTAGTTCAGGGGAAGGCAGACTGCAGGAGATACTCTGTTTATCAGTAGATCCCTGGAATATATTAACTGAAACCAGTTGAAAGGGTCCCTCCAGATGCTTTTTTAATGCATATCTGTTGTGCAGCATGCCATTGATGCATTTCATAAATTTATATACCACTTGATTGTTAAAATAAAAAAAAAAACACTCAGAGCGGCTTACAAATGATAGTGCATTCGTGCTGGGTTTACACTGAACTGTTCACACATCATTCTTCTTCATCAGTTGTTCTGCAATGCTTCCCCAATGTTGCTGCATCACTTCCATCTTTTGGGGTGCGGGGCACCCCCCCTGCTATGGAGCAAGAGAAAGCTGACCCAGCTCTGGAATATTTGTGATGCAAAAAGCTGCAGGATTTCAGCAGCCCGTTACAGGGCGTGGAAACAGAGCTGCGTGTCCACCGTGGGACTTTTTCAAGCGCAAACAGGACGACCCACGACTGCCCTGATACCGTTGCGCACACAGAGGATCACGACTGCAGCCGACCATCTGGTTTGGCCCATTGGGCAGGGAAAGGCAAATCATTTCCATTTTCCATCCACGGCCAGATGATCACCGTGAGCAGCCGAGACGGAGGTCGTTGCGATGCTGGACACCTCAAACCCCACTGGAGACGGTTGGGATGGTGGAGGAAGAACCAAATGAGCCTTTCTTTTTCTTCTTCCTCCTCTTCCTCCTCCTCCTCCTCCTCTTCTTCTTCTTCCTCCTCTAGCAACTTCATCAGCCTTTCCTGTCTCGCAGCGGAAGAAGTGTGGCAAAGGCGGCAGGCTAAAAATAGGCTCGGCAAACTCATAGCTGTGTCGGCAGCTGCAAAGGTGAAGTCAGCACATCCCAGTACGACGGACGGGGAACCTTTTCCAGAGCGAGGGATGAGTTCCTTTCTCAGCAGCCTTCTGAGGGCCGCATGCTTGTGGAGGCAGGGGCCAGAGGGGAATGTGGGCAGAGCAATGGATGTAAATTTCACCTGAGTACAGAAAGGTTATTTCTACCAACACACACACAGACATCCCTCTGCAAAGTGCCTCTCAGCCTAATCTACCTCATTGCAGAGTTGTTGCGAGGAATTAAATGAGGAAGGGAGGGTGTGATGTTGTTGTTGTGTTGTTGTTTCAATTTATATACCACTTTTTATCAAAAGATCCCAGGGCAGTATACAGTGGTACCTCGGGTTACATACGCTTCAGGTTACAGACTCCGCTAACCCAGAAATAGTGCTTCAGGTTAAGAACTTTGCTTCAGGACAAGAACAGAAATCGGGCTTCAGCGGCGCGGCGGCAGCAGGAGGCCCCATTAGCTAAAGTGGTGCTTCAGGTTAAGAACAGTTTCAGGTTAAGAACGGACCTCCGGAACGAATTAAGTACTTAACCAGAGGTACCACTGTACAACATTAAGAACACATTTTATGGAGCATAATAATAAATATCACACGATAAAATAATAACAGTCGTCCCCCCCAAGCACACGATAAAATAATAACAGTCGTCATCCCCCCCCCCCCAGCTTTAATAGGCCATGGATTATTTAATGGCCAACGGCCTGGGTAAAGAGGAGGGTTTTTTCCCTGGTGCCTGAAGACATGTAAGGATGGCACCAAGAGAGCCTCTCTGGGTATAAAAGCAACAGATAAATTGCAACTCTCTGATGGGGGATTAGGGCTCTCCTGACAATTCTCAGCGCCCTTTACGAACTACAGTTTCCATGATTTTTTTTGGGGGGGGGGGAGAAGGGGAGCCATGACTGTTTAAAGTGGTACTGCTTTAAATGTATGTTGCAGATGGGGCCCCACTGAGCTCCACAGCCGCTTGTGGGGATTTGAACTCTGGTCTCCCCCAGGTCCTAGTCCGACGCTCCAACCACTGTGCAACCCTGGCTCTCTGGAGCCTGAGGCCACAGCCAGGGAGAGAGCACCCAGCCACAAACTGCTGCCGACCGACTGGGGTGGTAGCAACAGCGGCCTTCCTGGACTGGCAGCTGGAAGGAGCTTCTCCCCGGCCTCCTCTCGGGAAGGCATTAAGATCAGGAGCACGTACGGCGAGACTCTGTCTAACGGCGCTGCGAGCGGACGCTGATTTGTAGCGGGGCCGAGGAGTGGGGAGGTGGCGTCGCAGGCTCTTCCTGTAGCAATGGTGAGGGGGAAGGAGGAGTCGAAGCAGCAGTGGCGAGGAGGGGGCAGGACCAAACAGGTCAGCTTCGGGGGTGCCACAGAAAGGGAGATTGGGTGCAAATGAAAACCCGGCGTCTCATTTGCACTACATTTGCTTAGCGGTCTGCAGTGGCGCAGCCGCCCAACTGTGTGGCGTCAAGGGATGCCGGGAGGGCTAAGGTGCATTAACATTGTCCAGGCAAGCCGAGGGGAGAGGATTATAGGGGGGCGGGGCTGGGGTTGAAGAGGGAAGTGCATAGGAAGGAATAGGCCTTTTGGTCCCCCCTCAAAAATGGGACGCGGGTGGCGCTGTGGGTTAAACCACAGAGCCTAGGACTTGCCGATTGGAAGGTCGGCGGTTTGAATCCCCATGACGGGGTGAGCTCCCGTTGCTCAGTCCCTGCTCCTGCCAACCTAGCAGTTGGAAAGCACGTCAAAGTGCAAGTAGATAAATAGGTACTGTTCCGGCTAGAAGGCAAACGGCGTTTCCGTGCGCTGCTCTGGTTCACCAGAAGCGGCTTAGTCATGCTGGACACATGACCCGGAAGCTGTACGCCGGCTCCCTCGGCCGATAAAGCGAGATGAGCACCGCAACCCCAAAGTCGGCCACGACTGGACCTGATGGTCAGGGGTCCCTTTACCTTTACCTTTTACAAACATGAGTCCTCTGTTCTCACATACACCTTGGCACCATGCAATCGAAGCACTGCGGTACCACTTTAAACCGTCATTGTGTGGCCCCCAACAAAAAAAAGAGAATTCTGGAAAGTGCGGTTTGTTAAGGGTGCTAAGAGGTGTTAGGAGATCCCTCTTTAGAAATGGAAAAAGGGCCACAGAGCATCTGCATTGCTCAGGCTCAGTCCCTGTTTTCTCCGCTCGGGGCTGGGAATGTCCCCCTGCCTGAAGTGCAGCTGCCAGTCAGTGCGGGCAGCACTGAGCCAGGTGGATCCATGGTCTGACTCAGTGTAAGGCTCCATTTGCACTTGATGTTTAAAGTATCCGCCCAGAGTGGCTGGGGCAACCCAACCAGCTAGGCGGGATATAAACAATAAAATAATTATAATTATAATTACTTGTTAGCATCCATCTGTCTTGAGAGACAATTGAGTGTGCCTCCAGGGGTGAAGTAAACTGCTGTGTTGTTGTTCTTGTTGTTTAGTCGTTTAGTCGTGTCCGACTCTTCGTGACCCCATGGACCAGAGCACGCCAGGCACTCCTGTCTTCCACTGCCTCCCGCAGTTTGGTCAGACTCATGCTGGTAGCTTCGAGAACACTGTCCAGCCATCTCGTCCTCTGTCGTCCCCTTCTCTTTGTGCCCTCCATCTTTCCCAACATCAGGGTCTTTTCCAGGGAGTCTTCTCTTCTCATGAGGTGGCCAAAGTATTGGAGCCTCAGATTCACGATCTGTCCTTCCAGTGAGCACTCAGGGCTGATTTCCTTCAGAATGGATCGGTTTGATCTTCTTGCAGTCCATGGGACTCTCAAGTGTCTCCTCCAGCACCAGAATTCAAAAGCATCCATTCTTCGGCGATCAGCCTTCTTGATGGTCCAGCTCTCACTTCCAAACTTCACTACTGGGAAAACCAGAGCTTTAACTACACGGACCTTTGTCGGCAAGAACTGCTGTGTTAGCAGCACCCAAGTGACCTCCCTGGGGCGCAAGCTTGGGCAGTGTCTGGAGATCCTGCATTGCCCAGAGGAAAAGTGCCCCCCCCCCCCCAGTCCTCGCTGATGGAAAGGAAAGGAAAGCAGGTCAAGGTGTTTGGCACCAGCTGGGCTGCAGGAGTTGCCGGAAGGAGGCGTACAAGGCGCCACCCAACAGTCAAGGCTCCACTCTAGATTTGTGTAGCATTATCATACCACTTTCAGCAGCCATGAATCCTGGGAGTTGTAGTTTGTTAAGGGTGCTGAGAGTTGTTAGGAGGCCTCCCAGACCTACAGTTCCCATCGTGGTTTAATAGTCAGTCCCTCTTCACAGGGAACTCTGTGAACTGCGAATAGGGGCCTCAAAACAGCTCTCAGCACCCTTCACAAATGACATCTCCCAGAAGGAGTTGGGGGAAGCCACGACTGTTGAAAGTGGCATTGTGGTGCTTTTGGCATGGATGTGGCCGCAGCTCCTTCCAACTCCCCACACAGGCTCCTTGCTCAAGCCAGAATCCTGTGAAGGAAGTTGACAGAGGCCTTCCCACTGCAGATGTTTGTCCTAAAATATGAGAAACTAGAAACAGCCACACAGCAACAGGAACAGGGCTTATGATGTTGCTCTTTTGTGCTCGCATGGCCCCTTTGCTGACTGAATATGGCTTTATTTACAATGGTACCTCTGGATGCGAACGGGATCCGTTCCGGAGCCCCATTCACATCCTGAAGTGAACGCAACCTGCATCTGCACGGGTTGCGATTCGCCGCTTCCGCGAATGCGCGAGACATCATTTTGAGCGTCTGCACATGCGCGAGCGGCGAAACCTGGAAGTAACGCACTCCATTACTTCCGGGTCGCCGCGGAGCGCAACCCAAAAATGCTCAACCCAAAGCTACTTCAACCCGAGGTATGGCTGTATTTGTAAATGCATTTGCCACTTTTCTGTTTGTTGGGATACTGGAAAAAATGGCGTTTTAGTATAAACCACTTTTTAAAAATGCATACCTCAGTTGATTAGAGCGTGGTACTGATAATGCCAAGGTTGTGGTTTGAGTCCCGTACAGGTGCGTATTCCTTCATTGTAAGTGGGTTGAACAAGATGATTCTCAGTGTCCCTTCCAACTCTATAATCCTGTGATGTTCAGGGTGACATATATGGGGCGTTACTCCATTTTATCCATGCAGGACCCCCCGTGAGTTTGGTCAGGTGGGGGGAAAAATGCGGCTGGCTCAGTCTGCCTTCACACGGCAATTTATCCCATTTCCCTGTTCATTTCCGTGCTATATCTGAGCTTTCACACGACGTAAAAACCGTTTCCAGAAAACTAATGGATTAACGTGCATGTTCATCACTCACTTCTGTTTTATTTCATTCCAGGGTGGGGGGGGAATCAGTTTGCAGCCTCCTTAACCGGGAAAATCATGGGAATAAAGTGATGAGATTTGGGGTGATACACCAGCATGCGGTTCTTTCCTGCTGTTTTTATGGGGGGAACTTGGATTACAGCTTCCATCATCCTTGACTTTTGGCCATTCTGGCAGGGGTTGATCAGAGTTTGGGTCAAAAAAATCTGGAGGGCACCAAGTTGGCGGGGGGGGGGGTCCCTGTTCTAGACTACTGTGAGCTATGAGAGAAGAATCCTCAAAAATAGCATTGGGGAACCTTTTGCCTCCCAGACTCCCAACTCCCACCATCCCAACTGGCATGACCAGACCAGTGGCCAGGGATGATGGGAGTTAGAGTCCAACAACACCTGTATGGCCGAAGCTCTCCCAGCTCTGCTGTAAAAGCAGAGTCAGTTCACTTTTCTCCTCCCTCTTCAGCACTGCAGTTTTAACTCAGAATCAATGAATCAAAACTCATACAATGAATTAACAGAGATTTTGCTAATCAGGTGGCAGCCCCAATATTCAATACACTCCATTGACTTCTCCCATCCAAAGTCCTTTCGAAAGAAATACGCATTTGCAGAAATCCATCAGCCGCAGGATGTTCAGGCCCAGTTTCTTTCCTTCTCTTTCGTTCCAGTCCTGATATTGAAAGGGATCTTTTCTCTCTCCTCGTATCCCCCTGGGTCCCACAACTTTCTGAGGTGGAAGGAATTTGACTGCTTCAGGTTTTGTTCTCCAAACCCTTTCGTTCCCAGAATCAGAGCTGAGGTGGTTGGTGATTCTGCTATTCCTGTCCTGCTCACAGCTCTGCAGATTCGGGAGGGGAGGTCCACAGCAGAGACCTCTTACTCGTTTTAAACTAATTCAGAGTTCACCAATGTGGTGCACGTGGGCTCAGCGGTGCCCTAGTAACTAGGGTCATCTAGTCCAACCCTCAATGCAGGAGTCACAGCTAAAGAATCACTGACAGATGGCCGTCCAACCTCCGTTTAAAAACCTCTTCCAGGGTGTCCATTCCACCTTCGAATAGCTTTTACCATCAGAAAGTTCTTCCCAATGTTTAGTTGGAACCTCCTTCCTTGAACCTACTGGTTAGCATCATTCATTCCACATTTTACCCACTTCTCCACAATAATTTCATGGGGAACTACGTCAAAAGCCTGACTGGAATCAAGATACAATACATCCACAGCATTCCCCTGATCCGCCAGACTTGTAACTCTGTCAAAAAAAGTCTGGCATGCCCTGTTCTTGAGAAACCCATGCTGGCTCATAGTAACTGCGGTATCCTTTCCTAATGCTATCTCTCTTACATTTCCATAAGCCAGAGACGGCTAATTGTGGCCCTCCAGAAAGAAGTGGATTTAGGCCACAGGGCACCACAACTATGAGCAAGTGCACGTGTAGAATGGAAGGTGAGAGACAGGGGGCACCAAAGTTTGGCCTTGCACAGGCTGCTGCTGAATCTGAAAGACCAAAGGTCCCCTTCGCCGCCAATCTCAATGTTGCTCACCCAACTCTCATCAGCCCCAGCCAGCAAGGCCAATGGTCAGGGCTGATAGCATTGAAGAACAACAGGGAAGCCACAGATTTCCCCACCTCTACCCTAAGTAAAAGGGACGCGGGTGGCGCTGTGGGTTAAAGCACAGAGCCTAGGACTTGCTGATCAGAAGGTCGGCAGTTCGAATCCCCGTGACGGGGTGAGCTCCCATTACTCAGTCCCTGCTCCTGCCAACCTAGCAGTTTGAAAGCACATCAAAGTGCAAGTAGATAAATAGGTACCGCTCCAGCAGGAAGGTAAACGGTGTTTCTGTATGCTGCTCTGGTTTGCCAGAAGCGGCTTAGTCATGCTGGCCACATGACCCAGAAGCTGTACGCTGGCTCCCTCGGCCAGTAAAGGGAGATGAGCGCCACAACCCCAGAGTCAGTCACGACTGGACCTAATGGTCAGGGGTCCCTTTAGCTTTACCTTTACCCTAAGTAAAAGAACTGGAGATATACCAGAAGGAAGGAGGATTTCAGAGGAAAAATCTAGAACAGCCTCCGAGGGTCCCAGCTTCCCCTTCGCCACCCTCTGCCCCTGCTTGGAGGCCTTGCTTTTGTTGCAGGCGCATGAGGTGTCTCTGGCTTTCAGAGGGAGCCTGCGATGTGTGGCGTGCATCAAAGCTCACCGATTGTTTCTTTGTGCAGGGATTGTGCATCAGTCCCATTAAGCCCCGCCGATACATAGAGGGAGAGAGTGTGGCACTGTTATTACCGAGAGCAGAGAAAAGAACAAGCTTTTAGACGCATCTTTCCAAACCTGAGAGGCTGAGGCTGATGGTTGCCAAGAAAGAGACAGACATTAAAGGAAAGGAGGAAAATTAGATTCCTCGGGTTACCTTAGTTACCCAGTTTCTAATGACTCCAGCTTCTGGGCCCATCACCTCACGCGTATAAGGATTCTCTGGAGATTGCCCCGTTAATAAGAGAGAGTCCCTTGTTCGCGGTTTTTCGGAGGAGGAGGGTGAAGCTGCCTCCTTGGAGGAGGTGGGGTGGGGGAACGCTCCAGGAGTCTTTTTAATACTCTCTTTTTGTGCGATGGCTGGGGGGTAATCTATATCTCTCTGTCAGTAATTGCCTCTCCTTATACCTGTCTTTCTTCCGGTAATTGCCTGTGCAGGGCTCGCGAAGGTTTCGGGGTGATATTTTGGAGGAGATGCTGTCAGCATTTACCTGGAAACCAACGATTATGGAGAGCAACGAGGAAGGCGTTGGTCCTTCGGGGTTGTAAAGCAAAGATTGTTGGAAGGAACGGGGTAGGGTGGGAGGAATTGCTTAATGGGAGCAGGCCTGTGGCAAGCCCATCGATTCCCCAGTTCTCCTAATTCGCCATTTGTTCGCCTGCATGAAGGTTGTTCTCCACAGAGGAGGGCAGGAGCTAAGAGTAGGGGGATTCTCTCGTGTCCCCTTAGTATCTCACTAGTTCACTGCCCACAACCCCACTTTTCTCTTGAGATTTGTGTTAGAACTGGACCGTGTGCAATTTCACTGCACACACCCCTGTTCAACATATTTATTTTTGTTTAAAAGAGGCAAGGGGGGAAAGAGAGAAAGAATTCCCACTTCATCCAAAAATGAATTTTATTCTTGTGTTTATTTCATGCCATGTATATACCTGAAAGCAGTTTACAAAAAGAAAGACGAAATAAATAATCGGGGACGGACGGACATTCAAAAAGCTATTCTGAAACATCTTTTTTAAAAAAATTATGAATATCAGTGGTCAGATAAAATCCAGATTCAAATAAGATGAAATCCAGATTCAAAGACAGATTCTGCATGTCTGGGTAGGCTTGTCAAAACACAAAGGTTTTTAGCAGGCTCTGAAAAGAGTACAGCGAAGGTGCCTGTGTTCAGTCCATGTTTCCTGATAAATCACTGCCCCTGTTTTCTGTGCATGTGGGCATGGAAAGATAAGTTTTTTGTGTGTTTTTTCCAGTTTAGCACACCAAAACAAAAAAACAGATATCCATCAATGTAAGGCAAAAAGAACATTAACACATCAAATAATAATCTCAAAACCTTAACATAAAAATGGTATTTCTCTATAGACCCGACTTCCCATCTACTCCTTACTTCACTTTCTCGTCTGTTGTACACTGCCATCACATAACAAGTTAAATTAAAGTTTCATATTCTTTAGTCTATCTTAAGTTTTACATCATACCTGAAGCTGCTACTGAAGTTATTCGAATGCTGCAAATGACTCTAAGCTACTATTATTATTTTCCAGATAAATTTTGAAGACTTCCCAATTTGATATAAATACCTGTTTTGGTTTATTTTTTTATTTTTTTCTGACAAGCTATCTAATTCCGCATATTCAGCCAGTTTTTATATCCATTCTAATCTTGATGGAACTTCGTCACTCTTCCAATTTGCCGCAATGAGCACCCTTTGCTGCGACCGTAGCATATAGGAAAATCCCTCTTACCTTTTTGGGCAAGGAAAGATAAGTTTGCCCTCTGTGATTTAAATCCATGGAATCGCTGAGTTGTAGAGTCGGGAGGGACCCCAAGGGTCATCTAGTCCAACCCCCTTGCAGTGCAGGAATCTTTTGCCCAATGTGGGGCTCGAAACCACGACCCTGAGATTAAGAGTCTCACCTTGGTGCGGGGAGGAGAAAGACGTGAAAGGATTACCATAGGAACCTGCTTTACCCCAGGTTTGGTGATCTGTCCATCTAGCCCAATGCAGTCTGCTCTGACTGGCAGTGCCTCCCCAAGGTCCCGGGCCTAGAAGGGCCATCCCCCAACCTCTGCTGCTTGATCCTGTTTTGACTGGAGATGTCGGGAATTGAACCGGGGACCTTCTGCTCGCACAGCATGCTCTCTACCACCTGAACCATGGTACGCTATGCTCCTTTCCGTCTCCTCTCTAGCACAGGTGCATTCAAATGTGCACCTGTGAGATACTAAATCCCCCTGCTGTGCCCACCCTGTGGCTGACAGAACTTCATCCTGAGCCGTTGATAATGTGCAATAGGACAATTAAAGTGTCCTTTCGAAGTATATCTTTAACCAGAGAAACAGTTGCACGCTCTCTTTGCTTTTAAATCAGGGAAGGAGAGACATGCAAGAAGTGCAGCAAGGTGGAATGAGGCAGGGGGAGGCGGAGAGGTGCTCAGGAAGCAAA